AGACACTTCCATATAATACTACGGGTAACCGTGTCAAAACCTGCTTTTAGGTCCAAGAATATTAGGCATAGTTCATAGAAAACCTGTATATAAACCAAAAACATCAATTAGTGACTAGTTTCGGGATTTTGCCATCTTCAGGTGTAAAAAGTATATATAAAAAGATTATTTATTATCATAAAATGTAAGATTTGATGAGTTAAGAGGGGAATTATATTAAGATATGTAATTTTAAACAAATTTGTGTTTTAAAATTTTCTTTGGGACAACGACGAGGAGGGCCTTCTTTGCGGACGGCTTCGGCGCGCGAATTAGCAACGTGACGGTTGAGTTATTTTTACGACCGACCGGATGACAAGTGCTCATGTATCTGTCCGTGTACCGGCTACCAGGGGCGGCGTTGGAGCGAGAGAGACGGAAACAGGCGGGCGGCCATCATTAACGATAACCATCGCGCTTGCCACGGCCCTCTCCTAAGACAAATGAAGGTGCGAGCTGACAGCGAGCCCATTTAGTCGGGAAGTCGTAATTATAAGGAGTGGTGCCGATGGTGGTGGTGGCGATTCTACACCACACTCACACAGGGCATCAGCTTTTCATTTTGATCAGCAGTACTAAAACTTTAAAAGTACTTTGAAGAAATTTTTGGTTTGTTGAAGCAGTTGATGCATTATTTTATGGGCTAACTGTACATATAAATAGCAACGTTTTTATTTTTTGTATTAATTATTTGATTTATGAGTGTAATAACTCCGGTTTATAGATCAAGACTTAGATTCAGCAAATTTTTTCCAATGATAATAAAAGTTATGGTCGAGTGATCGTTACGATCTAGTAAATAATCCCCTCACGCTAAGTTATGCCGTGTTTGGGGAACGCTGTGTTATGTGTTCAGAAAGGCGTTCGTTTAGTTCTTATCTGTCGCGTATCGCCCGTATCCGCGACTGTTAAATTACCAGTCCCGGCTCTAAATATCAAATAGATATTAATTATCCCCGCACACTAATTCAATCGCCTCGTTATCGTAACTTGGAGATCTCTTGGTCCAAGAGAGACGGTTGTCCGTTTTGTCAGCGCCTTTATCGTACCAGAATCTTAATGCGCGTCGCCTTTTAGAAAGTCTCGATTTACATGGAAGAAAAGCCTCGAAGGAAAGATATTGCGCTACACCCCTTCCTCAACAGTGAACCAGTCCCGGAGATCTTGTTTATGATGGTAAGTTTGACCCTTAGCTACACCCAGGTACAAATAGTTTTGTGGAATAAATTTTTTAATTTGTCAGATACGTAAATTGTGTACTTTCAACCAGTCATTTGTACCGAATTTACTCTCGGATCCGCTTTCACTAACACTCGAATTGTTCTGGTTTGGATGCCCAGAGCTCGAGAGAGCTCGAATGCGCTTCGTGAGTTACGAAGTGACGGGAGTGGTGCGCATTTACATCACAATGAAACGGACAAATTTACAATCACTTAATCCATTTTCCTGACTGATCCGCAATTTACGTCCCATTGTTATGTTAGTGGGATTAATCTGATGCGTTCATTAAAAATGTCTAAATGATTTAGTCGAATTATTAAATTTCGTATCGATTTAAAGTTTTTGATATCTTTTGGACCCTTGTCAAGAAAAGAAGGATCTTTTTTTGCAAACATAAACAGTAGGAGAAACAGAAGGGACGCCTTGGCGTCGGTTTGGTCTCATTATCCGACCGGATCCGAGCGGAAACCGTCGCCGACCACCTTTGATTGTTTATTCGCCGCTGCTTCCATCACTGTCAAAGCCGGTCGCCCATAAATCAGGGTCGCTGTTGACGTCGGCGCGGAATTATTTATACCGTTCCGAATAGTTTTTTGTGCCTGTGGACGACGGAATCTCCTCCGAGAGCCCCTATCCAATTATTGGCGGCCGCTTTGACCATGCTGGCGAATACAAATGAATGAATACGAAATTTTCTTTGTGTTGTTGAAGCGCCGTCTCTTCTAAAAGAAGGAAACCCCTTTTTCACAAAACATACAAGTAACGAATTTTAATTTTAAATCGTAAAACAACATAAAAATCTTTAAAAAGTTTTAAAAATAGTGTTACTTAACGATTCGACACAGCCATTTCGTTATCTCCATAGTCGTTTGTTTAGTCCGGGGACAGAAGAACCCCGGAACAGGGAAACCGTGAAGGATGACTCCAATTACTGGGCTAACTGCGGCGCCACTTTTAGCCCTGGCCGTCGTCCAACCAACTTTGTCATTACAACCGGGGAATTGTCGTAAACAAATAGCCGCCCTAATATTAGATATTACTTATTGGATGACGGCGCGACGTGTTCGTTGACAGTTTTTATTATTCTAATTGCACAACTTTTACGGTCGTCGTAAATTTTGCGATTTATCGTCGCGTGTTATCGTTGAACAGGTGCCTCACCGAAAAATATACGTCTGCTCGTAAAACGATGAAAAAATGTATATAGTCTCGAGCGACGGCAGAAATTGAATTGTTAAACTAGCGCGCCAGACCGTAAACATTACTGTTTAAAATGTTCGTAGGATCCGGTTCATTTGCCAACAAAACCAACCTAACTTTAAAGACTAGAATAAATATGTTTATGTAATCTGAAATTAATAATGAATTTAGTATTTTTTTAATTACATATTTATAGATTAAACTTATTTACTTGACATAAAAAGTTTTATTACAATCTTATTTAAAATTTTGGCAACTTTCCAAACTATGCGTAAATTTATAAGATGCGTTTCAAAAATAAATAGTGTTATTTCAAATCAGATTTATTCATTGAAAAAGTGATTATTTTATTAATAACATAAAAATTCGACTTGATTCCAAATATTGTATCTCGGAAACTAAAAGTAATTTCGCAAAATGGATTGGAAATTTGGAAAGAGAATGGCTCAATTACTATTTCGTGTAAATTTCATGACAAGTACCCCATAAATAGAGGATTCCCAAATTTTTAAAGTTAATTCAAGAAATCTAAAATATAATAAAATTCGACTTAATTCAAAACATTGTATATCGGAAACTAGAAGTAATTTTGCAAAACGGATTAGAAAATTGGAGAAAGGATGCTTTTATTACTATTTCGTATAAATTTCGTGACAATAGGGGATTCCCAAATTTTTAAAGTTAATGGAAGAAAATTAAAAAATTTTAACAAATTTCGATTTAACACAAAACATCGTATTTCGAAAACTAAAAGTGATTTTGCAAAACGGATTGGAGAATTGGGAAGAGAATAGTTTCATTAGTAATTTGTGTGAATTTTATAAAAATTTTCCGAAAAACCGGATTTTCCCAAATATGTAAAGTTAATCTAAGAAATCTAAAACATTATAATAAAATTCGACTAGATTTAAAATATTGTATCTCGGGAACTAAAAGTAATTTTGCAAAACGGATTAGAAAATTGGAAAGAGGATGCTTTTATTTATGATTCATATACATATATGTCATAACAATTTCCCAGCAAATCAATTTTTCCCAAATTTTTAAATTTAATATAAAAAAGATTAATTAAAAGTTACAATAAAGTTCGATTTGACTTCTAAGAAAAGTTTCATTATTTTTAAAAATATTTTCCTGATTTTCAACCCGAATTTAGTGCACCCCTCAAAGGGCAGTGACATATACACGATGGGGATGAATAGAGACGTAATAAATTCGGTCAGTCGAACAAAACGGTATGACATAAGGGCGCGCGTTTTGGGTTTCCATACTAAACCGGGTCTAATAATGACTTTTCGTAAACGGTCGTCCGGTGTCACAACCCTAACCGAAACGGAACAGCTATGACAGCACATGTCAGGGGTGCCCCAAAATATATCATCCCCATCCAGACCTTACTCTAGTTTTGAAGTGGCCATAATTTCGGATACGGCTACTAAAGAGAGCATCTGCAACGAGGAAATTGCCCCTAAATAACTTAGTTTATCGGTTTAGGGTGATATTTTATGAAATTTATTGTTCGTTTTAACTTGAAATTGTTACGATTGAAATTATTTACACAATTGCAATTGCTACCTTAATTGCACATAATTCGCGTTTACAACAGCAATAAACGTACGCAAACCGATGTAATTGGGGCAATAAATTTGATGATCCGCTGACAGATCTTATCAGGTGGTACTAACTCACGTTTTATGTTCAATCACATTTGACATTGTGTGTTATTTTTTTTTTAATTGCATTAATTTATTATTTGACGCATAAACAATTAATAAAAATATGATTAAACGTTATTATTTTTAAAATTATAAAATTGGCACAAAATTATTTGTTATATAAAATCTTAAACGGTTCATAAATTTGAAACATTAACATTTGGAACACGTAACTAACCGCATATCCCGTGCCAAATTAGCTACCATAAAATGTATTTAACCATTTAGAATAAATGACTCTAACTAAAAATAATAAAAATATACACGCCTCGACTTTAGCTTTATAGCTTTTGTACTAGGATAATATATCGTAGCTTATTCACTCTTCGTGAAATGAATAATCAAAAACCACGAACAACAATAGACCAATATACAACGAGAGTTAGTGCCGTTTCGATCGTAATATAAGAAGGACCTCCAAGTTTTAACAATAGCAACAACGACGACGACTTCTCGCCCGTAAATAACAAGTTATTACGAACGTATAGAGAATCGCGTCCCAGGTAAAATACGAAGACAAGTTTATAAAAGATATGACAGGCGTAACGGGCCCCTCCGACCATAAAATAAATAAGAGGTCCTCCGGGCTCACAGTTTTACTGCCATCGCGGCGCAATAATTCGAACGAGAGATGCCCGGCCAACGCCATCTATCAACATGGACTGAAGCGTTCTCGTGTTTTCGAGGCTACCGATTATACACATACACACAGGGAGCGGAGGTTCTTCTCTCTCTCTGTGTAGAAGAGGCGGCAATCATCAAAGGGAACCACTCAGTCTGTCATCGTCACCAGCGTCATGGGTGGTAGCAGCCGACAGGCTTGAAACGTGGCTGTATTAACGCTTTGTCATGACTCGCCTCGACGAACAGAACTGTGTGTAGTAGATGGTTTAAAGTGGGGATAGGCACATGCGCGATTCCAGTCTTTCCCCGAACCTCGACAATTCTAGGCACCCAAAGAGCCAGTGCCACTCGAGAGGTTCACGTCGATGAATCGCTGCTGGTAGACGGTTATTATTCAAAGTTATTAGTTTGAAAAAGTTTTAAATTTGAGTTATCAAAAATATGGTAGTGTTGGAAGGCGGCGGAATGTTGTCATCTTCAAGTAATCAATATCTTCAACCGGATTATTTATCTCCTTTACCAACAACGGTTAGTTTCAAAACTTTTTTATCACCCAAAAATAATTCGATACTAATTTATTTTTAATTTTATTACTTCCAGTTGGATGCTAAAAAGAGTCCTTTAGCTCTTTTAGCTCAAACCTGCAGTCAAATCGGCGCAGATACACCATCAAGTAAACCCTTGATTTCCCCTCTTGAAAAAACAAAGAAGTCATCTTCCTCATCTGATAATCGTACTTCTCCGGCTTCAGCAAGAGAGAAGACTGAAAAATCCGCACCTAGGAATAGCCCATCTGAGACTAAGTTAGCATTTAAACCGTACGAGAATATAACTACGTCGAAGAAAACGGAAGATTCCCGTCCTACTTCAAAGTCAAGTGTTCATAATTCTGACGCTGGGGATTCAAAATCTGATAGAAAATCGGCTTCCCCAGCTAATAGTAACACAACAACTCCCGCTCCGGAAAATGGAAAGACCACCCCATCGTCCGACCGCAAAAGTACTACACCGTCGGCAAGAGGAGCCAGTCCGATCATAAGAAGTGGATTAGAAATCCTTCAAGGACACAAAGAATCTCCTTTGGGGAGTTACAAACCGGGATTACCCGGATTAACCGCTTTACCTGGACCTTTGGGATCATTGTGTTGCCCTCCCGGATTAGAACATACAAATCCGGCTTTTAGGCCTCCGTTTCCCGGCGGTCCGTTTTCACATCATCATGCTATGTTAGGATATCCTGGTACAACACCTGGACCTTATTTGAGTTACGCCCGTGTTAAAACTCCGTCCGGTGGTGAAGCCTTAGTACCAGTGTGCAAAGACCCTTATTGTGGCGGTTGCCAATTCAGCTTACATAATCAGCTGATGGCCAGTGGACAGTGTCCTAGTGGTTGTTCTCAGTGTGACCATCAAAAGTACAATTTGGCAATGGCCATGTCTTTAGTGCCACCGGGTCCAGTTCCGCCATCATCACTTTCTTACCCACAACTTGGAAGACCTTACGTTTGTAATTGGATCGTAGGAGATACTTATTGCGGAAAAAGGTTTGTCTCATCCGATGAACTTTTACAACATTTAAGAACGCACACAAGCGCGTCGGATGCGGCTTCAGTAGTAGCCACATCAACAGCTTCTTCTCTACTAAATCCGCATTCGTTATTCTCATCATCGGCGTTACACAGATATCCGAATCCGCCGTTAAGCCCACTTTCAGCAGCAAGGTATCATCCGTATGGAAAACCAACGTTACCATCAACTTTGGGAGCGTCTCCATACAGCGCTTTCAATCCGACGGCACTCGGACCTTACTATTCGCCATATTCAGTTTATGGACAGAGGTTAGGTTCCGCCGCGGTTCATCCATAAATTAAAATTAAAAACAAAATTAAACTTGGATAAAAATTACCCGTCGGTAAAACGTCGTGAAACGTAAACGTTCTATACTGTGATATTGTAAATATTCTCGAAGTTTAAAAAAAAAATATTAAAAAAAATTAATAAAAAAAAATCATTTTATTATTATTATTATTGATTAAAAATTAATTAATTAAAATTAATTGAATAAAAAAATTGAAAAGTGCAATTTGACGACCCGCTTTTTGGCAATAATCGAACGGTTGATAAGAATGAAAGAAAACTGATTGACGAAGACTCTGAAAAATGTTCGTTCAAGAAGCCCTACCTTCGATTCCTTCTTTTTTATTACTGTCTATTATCAAACGTTTATTAGTTTTTATTAACTTGTAAGACGATGTTGAAGTTCAAAATATGCTTTAATAAAAAACATTTGTAGAATGAAACTTTGTGTTTGTATTTTGAATTTGTTTTAAATCATTTTTTAGGTTATTTATCAAGATTTTCTTAAGGTAAGTAAGATTTTTAATAACATTTTTCTGCAATAAGTGAATTATAATTAATTGTATAGTTTGTTAATTTTATTTTTCACAAAAAAATCAAAGGAATGGTTGAACAAAAACTTAATTTTCAAGATTAAAAATTTATTGCCACCAAAACATCATTCTCATTTATCGTATTTCTGTTCCGGTGTATTTACCAATGTAGTTATTTCTCATTTCTTTCAACATCTTCCATGCTTTACCTTGCTCCATCCAGTTGCCAAGATGATCTTCCATGTAACATAAGTCTTCATCTCACTGTCCACTGAGCAACTCATTACATCAGGCCATTTTCAAACACTCTCTAATAGCTTTCTACATTTGGAGAAAGAAAGATATATGTCCCAACTCGACCCAGTCCAATCCAATTCAATTCAGCAAAATTCTTTTTTGAAGAAACCTTTCCCTTTCTCTATGATATCACTCAACAAAGTATTTCTTCAGAGTTCAAAAATTTACAAGTTGTCCAAACAATTTTAGATTATCTGCAGCTCTCCTAGTTACTCTTAGTTCCAACCATCTTGGACTTCGATAGTACTCAAATTCTGTTTATAATTTGAATTTTGCATCTTGTATCCATTGTTGGATGATTAAGGTTCAGAGGTTCGAAGAGCATCTTTTGAGTCATCGTCATTTAGCGACGTGAGTGTTTTTACCTTAGTTTTAAACATTCTATCTTTGCTACCGATATGTTAATATTATGGAGCTCATAAACCTGTATTCCAATATCTTAGAGATGACTTACAACCATCATGTCAGCATGTTCTTTTTTTCTTTCAAATTTGTGTTTGGTCATACCTTTTACGGTCACGATCTGGCCATCAGCACCAAATCAATACCCCGTTCCATATCGAACCTCAGAAGACTATCATACAAGCCATTCCATAGAATTAGACCTAACATGGATTCCTGGGGAACGCTACAGAAAACAAAAAGTCTCCTTTGTAGACTCCTTCTTTTAGCACTTTTACAATTCTTAACCAACGGGCCGAGTTAAAAGCATTTTTTGCATCATATTTTCTCTCTCCAATTAGTCTCCTTGCTTTCCCACATTTTATGCCAAAATTCTATCATGTCTATTACCAACTGTTATGAAGTTATTTGGGTAAAGTATTTGATTTTGGCACTTATCAAAGTTTTGACTAGCAAAGCATAGGCGTTGGATGGGTTATTCTAATAATAAAATTAAACACAATATTTTCGTGTCGATGTGCAGAAGCATGTTTAAGAAAAAAAATTATATCTTAAGATTTGAGCGTTATAGAAAAATATATTTCAGACAAAAAATGTTCGTTATTAACTAAAAAGACATTTCCATAAATTGGTTTTATTCCAGTGCATAGTTCTATCAATCTGAAAGTGTATCAAAATCGTCAATTTTAACAAACGGCAGTGTTTTATCTCTGACGGTGTAGAATGTAGCGCCTCGGCCGCAAACGACCTTGATTCAAAAATAAGATTTAGAGTAATTAATATAAATATGTGAAGGTGTCTTTTTATTTTTGATGATTTGGAATGTGAATGTCTTTTTAGCTCAGCGAAATATCATATTACATAATGAAAATTGATCAAGAAATGTATTTATTTAGAATAATCAGAACAAAATTTCGAAATTTTGAAATAAAGTGCCTTCAATTTACGCATTATTTTACACGTAAGAGACGCACCCTAAGAAAATGATGAATTACCGAGAATGACCTTTCCATGGCATCTCCAATCTCTGGGTCTATGATGGATTACCTGTTCTGTCACGGAGCCATTCATCATGTTGCTTGTCGGTTTCCCTTTCCCCTTCAGAAAAGACGCTAATGAACAGCATCTCTTCGATCTCTTCTTGCAATTTGCTTCCTCGTTCTTCTAACATGAGGTGTTTTCGAAAAGATATTTTTTTGTCAATTTTAACGTTTGCGGAGTGAAGAATGGGACGACGACACCTGTTTGGTGGTAAATCCGTCGGCGAAGTCGTTTAGATAAAACGTGGAAGAGGAGGTAATATAGAGAAGGAGGTGTGCGCATCTTTTGCTAAGCTTTGAAAACGATGGCTGGGTCGGGAAAGAAATATACACGCCGGCACCGCGACGCTGAACGTTTTACGGTTTGTTAGCCGACCGAAAACAAACTTAACGCGCGCTATACGACAACGTATTTATGAACTACACGGAGGATAGAACGATTTTTGACGTCAGTTGATGTGCTTTATTTATTTTAAAATTTTTTAATCATTTTTCAAAGAATATCAAACATACTTTTATTGTATATTTATGGATTTATGTCACGTATTCCATAAATATAAACGCATATCAAAACATAATATGATTAATATAATTTATTATCACTTTTGCAACAGTTTTGTATGAAATATACATTTGTGCCATCATTTTAGGATTAATAGCCCAATTTATTATGAACTTGGTCATCGCTTTATAAATAGCAAACACGTATTAAGGATTTTCAAATCTCCGACTGACATAATTTCTATACTTAATAATCTTAATTAATCCAAAACATAAATTTAAAGATAATTAATTTAATTTAGTCTTTTTTACATTAATTTGTTTTAATACAAGCATTAATCAAAGTCTAACAGTAATAAATAACTGAAATCGAAAAAAAAAGAACGTTTTAAATTGCTCGTAACAAGCCGAGTGTCTATTACACAATACATAATTGCTACTGGCCCGGTCCCAACAATGTTGAAATTTCTCGTTGCTGCTCATAATTTATTACACCCGAACCAATCAACAAATACATAAATACGCAAACCCGTTAAAAAATAACACGGTCGTGTTGCGGCTTGTTTTTGTTTAATGTGTCATATTTAAAGAATCTCGCATTCGTTTGACCGCCATTAATAATTTATGACAACGTCAATCGGCGTAACATAAATAATAATAAATTTGAAACTTTTCAAACGCTCTTAAAAAAAAATTTTCAACACAACCGATGTGTTTTGACTTTCTAGCCGTTGATTAATTGTTCGCTCGGCGGCCGGTTAACGTTTTAATTTATCTACCATTATCTAGTAATAACACGAATAAATCTCTATTTTATCGCTATTTGCGCCGTGCTAATAACGGGAATGACCTTAAACGTCTTGTGGCAATTACCACTTTAACACACAGCCAGAAATAACACAACGATTGATCTATGGATGGTCAACGTTATTTTTAATATTAATTTTATTTCTTTTATATTAAATTCTATTAATAACTCTGTGGTGATTAATTAATTATTATAAATTGCGTATTCGACAAGATAACAAACGCCGTCTTTAATTATTATACAAAAAAATAAACGATTGCGAAAAAATGTGTTTACGTCTCAGGAATCGTATTTTAAATTGTTTTAAACGTATTTATGCAATAAGTATCACTATAAATCACGACTTTTTTTTTTCTTAACTATTTACGGTTTTGTTGTCATTTCGATTAAAATTAATCGTTTTCTCGATAAGAAACATTGTGTTAATGACTTTTTAACATCTTTCAATTAATTTTTTATTTATATATTATGTATTTTTTTTATTTTTTGATGTAATATAACTAGAAATTTCACTTTTTTAATAAAGTTTTGTGCAAAAAGAACAAGTTACTGATACAAAAAGGATCCATAAAAAAGTTCAACACCAACAAGGATGTTGAAGTTTGTGCAAAACCGCCAAAACATTAACACAAACAAATAATACTGAAAGAAGTGTTGGCAGAAAGAGGAAACCAATTGGAATTAAAAAAGAACTCTAAAATGAGAAAAACATCAATATTGATACAGAAGTTTTTGCCAAATCACCAGAACACTGACAGAAAAAAAACAATATTGAAAGAAGTTTTGACAGAAAGAAGAAACTAGGAAGGTTGAAATTTACAATTTATTTACAGAACGAGTTCAACGACGACACGAATGTAGATGTTTGTGCAAAATCACCAGACCACTGACACCAATTAATAATACTCAAAAAAGTGTTGATTATCACAGCTTTGCCAACCTAAGAATCACCATGCGCCATTATAAAGGAAATAAAGGTCAAAACCCTTCTATACATCGAAATACTAGGTCAATTTGCATATATCAATAATAATCTCCATAATCATATTCGAAGTGCCATAATGTTAATCTAATACTCTCTTAAGCCATATTATTTTTGTTATAGAATTGGTGCTTCACTATTTAATATTATAAAGTAATCTATTAAAAATGTTACAGAATAATACGATTATCGAAATATAATTTTCCTTTGTTGAATTTAGAATGACCAACAGAATTTGTCTGCGTTATATGTTTGCAAAAGAGCGATAAACGTAGACGACGACGACATTACATTTTATTTACGGGTGTTATGCGCCCGTTTGGTTTTATTTAGAAAGTGTACAAAATACACATTGTAATTTAACGTTATTTATAGCCCAATAAACATGTAATTACACGTGATATATTTTATATACCAAGCTCGGAGTTGGTCTATTTTCGCGTCGCGACGCATTTTTATAACAAAAAAGAACTACAAAAAGTTCAGGAATTTATGTTCCCACTTATTTTGTGGTATTTTAATAAATACGGGTTAAAAGTATTTTCGAATTTCTCTTTTTTTATTAAAAGATCGATACGGAAACCAAGAAAATTTTAAAAAATGCAAAAAAACTAATATTGACACAGAAGTTTTTGCAAAACCGCTAGAACACTGACACTAATCATGCAAAAAGTGTTGGCAGAAGGAGGAAACTTGTTGGTATTAACAAAGAACCTTGACAAAAATTTCTACAAAATGAAAAAAACCCCAATATTGACATTGAAGTTTTTGCAAAAATGCCAAAACTCTCATACTAATTAAACAATATCACAAGAAGTTGTGACAGAAAGAGGAACACCTACATAAAAAAATATCTACACCATTTTATGCTATTTTAATA